TTCAAGGCTCTTTAGGAGAATGAGGCCCATCATTGTTACTGGTATTTGGGTATACCAGTACGCCACAGGGAGTTTGCCAGACTCTGCCCTGTGGGCGGCTACATTCGATAGCCTGCAAGTTTGTCCAAAGTAGGAATGAGATAATAAGAAGTCATAAAAAGATGTCCTGACATGATGTCGCGCGGCCAAAAATGCAGCCGCGGGGTTCCGGGAACTGGATTTTATAGTCTCTGAGTCTTGGCCGTTGATGGGATTACACGGCGCCAGGGGGCCAGGTGGTGGGCGTGACCCCCGCCTACTGGAATTTGGAGGATCTGGGTGGAGGATGCTCGACTCCAATCCGAGTAGGCTTGGAGTTCTCGGCCCTGGAACCCACGTGGATTTGTCCCTCTGCCAGTACCTTCATGTGTGCGGAGAGTGGTCTCAGCATGGTGGTGGCTGGTCCTGGAGGTCTTCGGCTGCCGGAGCCATGGTCGGGACGGGGAGGAAAGCTCAACCCGCTCCCCTCCAAGGGGCCCAGGTGAGGAACAGCCAGGCGCGGGGGTAGAAGACTGCACTGTTCTCGTCCGGGAACTGGATTTTGTAGTCTCTGAGTCTTGGCCGTTGATGGGATTACACGGCGCCAGGGGCCAGGTGGTGGGTGTGACCCCCGCCTACTGGAATTTGGAGGATCTGGCTGGAGGATGCTCGACTCCAATCCGAGTAGGCTGGGAGGTCTTGACCCCGGAACCCGCGTGGATTTGTCCCTCTGCCAGTACCTTCATGTGTGCGGAGAGTGGTCTCAGCATGGTGGTGGCTGGTCCTGGAGGTCCTGGAGCAGCCGAAGAACTCCAGGATGAGTGTGGTCGTGAGTTCTAATTCTCCATGTCCCACATGCCAAGACCAGAATCGGACAGGTCTGGTTTTTATGCTCCCTGGTGCTAAAGAAGATATCTAAAACACTCCATAGGGTATGGACCAGTACCAAGAGGGTCCAAAGGCCTGGGAGAACAAGACCGAACTCTCCTAACTGCACACAACTGACCCCTTATGTTCTCTCTGGCCAAGCGAGAATCTTCCCAAATTGACATTATTGCAATCGAAAGAGCAGCAGGACCCCCATGAAAGAGCCGACTTCCCCAGAACACAAATCCATGGGCAGCGCCCCTCCTCCTGATCTTCACACCCCAACCAGTGTGCATGATAGAAATTTCTGGCCAGATCATCACACACAAGGACACGCTGTAGAGAGTTCCCACTCATTCAGCCCAAAAGATCAAGCGTTTTATTGTGAAGTTTGGGTTCTTGGTTCACTGGGCAACAGTTCTCATGATGAAAGGGAAAAAAGAAACCATCACAAGCACAACACATAAATGAAAGCATAAATCCTGGGAGCCAGGGATCGAGTCCGTGCATTACACAAGACACAGAACATAGACCAGGATGTTGGGCTTCCAGGGGCTGCATCTCCTGTGAGTGTTTCCACTCACAGGAAACAGTGTCCAGGAGCAGTCGCCTCTTGAGCACAGTTAAACTCAGAACCGCTGAGATCCAGAGGGCTCAGGAGAGACAGGAGGTGAGTGCTCATTCCCGCAGGCCAGGAGAGTTTCCGCTGCCAATCTCATGGAGCGCGACCTTGTTCACGTCATGGGTCTGGGATTCCACATCCTCTGCCTTCCTCACGCCAAAGAGCCAGTAGCCAGCGCCGGCCCCCGCCACCACCGCCAGGCCGAGGTAGGCGTTGTAGGTCATAGCGGTCAGCATCAGCAGGTAGCTCAGGCCCACCTGGAGCACGTGCAGCGTCGTCTGCAGGAGGTGAGTCGCGCTCAGCAGCTGCAGCCGGGGCGTCTCCTTAGGGCTGGTTCCGTCAGGTCTGGGGAAAGGGGAGCACGTGGCACGAAGGTCCTCCTGGGCCTTGCGCTGGAGCCCCTCACAGACTGTCTTGAGTCCCTCGTATCCCAGGGCCAGTAGAAACACAGCCACGACAGCCACGGCCATGGCCGCAGCCGAGTCGATCAGCAGCCCCGAGAACAGCAGCTCCACGTTCCTGTAGCCGAAGTAGAAGGTCATGGGCATCGTTTGCACACTGCCCCCGTGGGAGTGGGGCCCCGTGGTGGCCGGAGGCTGGGATGGAGGAGCCATGGCGCTCATCCCGGAGTGATGGTGCGAGTGGTCCATGATCCCAGGAATGGATGTGTCGTAGAAGATTCTGGAAGTCTGATGGAGTCCTGCACTGCAGCTTCTTCTCAGGGTCTCTGGCAGATACCACGTAAGGCTTGAAGGAGTCCTGCCTCTTATGTTCACTGGGAGGAGACCCACCCTGATACTCCCCCGAACCTCCTCGACCCTCCCTAGAGACCCTCCCAAGAGACCCTCCCAAGTTGACTGAGAGATGAACTCTTCACACCAGCTTTGCTCGTCACAATGGCTAAAATCTCAAAACAAGCAAAAAGAGAAATAATATCCTCAGCTCTATCCGGGTTTCATTAACGTAGGAGGAGAATCGGTCCTTCTGGAGGAAAAGCAGTTCTCCGTTCTGAGTCTAAAATGTGATTTTTTTTCTTTTGGTTTGGAGCCACAACCAGAGATGCTCAGGGGTCCCTGGGCTTCTGCACTCATGAATTCCTCCTGACAGTGCTTGAGATAGGATGCCAGGGATTGAACCCAGGTCAGCCGTGTGCAAGGCAAGTGCCCTACCCAATGTACCATCGCTATGTCCTCTCAAGTGGGTTCACTTGAAGCAAAATAAAGCCCAAGAATGATGCAAAAGCTGACTTCAAAATACCATGATTATTCTGATTGAGTCTCTGGACTGGGCCAAGTGTAAGTTCTCTGGTTGCCAGAACATGCAGTTTCCAAGAGGTGGGGCTTTACGAGGTTTAGTGCAGATGAGCTTAAGACATGGGGGCTGAAGAGCGCCTCATTCCAGGTGCTGTGGGGTGAAATACTCCCCAAACTGTGGGCCACTGGACAGAGAATTGAGGCACATAAGCACAGTATATTAGAGCCAGAGAGAGACCAGCACAACCGAGGCAGCATGTTACTACACTTGACTGCCCACGCATAACTCCTACAAACTCGGGACCAGAGACATAGTGCAGGAAATAAGGTGCCTACCTTACTTGCAAACAACCAGAGCCTTTGGCCTCTAGCAACACGGAATGTGCCTTGAGCTCTGCAGCAGTCACTCCTGAGCACAGAGTCCAGGCTCGTTCCTTATTATCACTAAATGTGGTTCTACCACCCCCAGAAACACCCCCCCAAAATCATACAAGCCGATAATAGTGGAGATCTGAACATAGAAATACTATATGTGTCACTAGTTTACAAAAGAACTAGTATGGTACCAAAATGTGACCATACACTTGGGATATAGTTATTATAAATGATCTGAGATGGAGGATTTAGAAGACAAGGTTCTTGAAGCAACTATCACATTTCTGTCCAAAAATATCTAAGGAAAATTATGACAATATTTTAACTAGAGAATAGCAGCAAAGATAGTAATTATGCAGGGTTCCTGAACATTAGGGGCAAGCCCTGAGTCTTGAGCCAGGATTTTCCCCAGAGCATCCCAACATGTAGCCCCCAAACAAACCATGACTAAGAAGCCAAGTAGAGTAAACAACCCACTGATAAACAACAAATAAAAAAAGAAAAGGCAATTTCTAACACCACATGTATAGATAATGCTGATTGAGGCTGGGGAGGGTATCATGAGGGCTCGTGTCTCGCTGCTGTTCTTGGGGTCGGGGCTCTGTCCCTTCCATGGCCCACTAGACACAGCCTGGCCCTGCTCTGCTGGCTCCAGTCCCGTCGGGTAATCCCCAGACCCTCAAAATAAATGAGGAATAGAAATGGAAAAACCTGTCTGCTTCAAAGTGATCCACGTATCGAAATTCAATGCACAAGGCTCTTGCTGAGCTTGATATCCAGGTGAATCAAAATGAATCTGAAACTATTGCTGGTGACTGAATGGTTTTTGCCAAAGAAAGTTGATGTGCGAATCCAACTCTGGCTCTGATGGTTTTAGGGTTGGGCCTTTGAGAGAGATTGGTCAGTGTTGGCCTGGAGGAGCAGCACCTTTTTTTACTATTTTATTTTTTATTTTAAAATTTTTTTATTAGTGAAATACCATGAGGTACAGTTGTAGATTTACAAATGTTTGTGCTTGGGTTTTGATTATACAATGATCAAGTACCCATCCCTCCACCAGTGCTCATTTTCCACCACCATGGACCTCAGTATCACACCCACCCCCAACCCCCCAACCCACCCTGCCTTGCACCAGTGGGATCGTGAGTTCTAATCCTCCATGTCCCATATGCCAAGAGCAGAATCTGACAGCCCTGGTATTTATGCTCCCTGGTGCTACATAAGATTTCTAAATACGCCCCATCGGGTATGGACCAGTACCAAGAGGGTCCAACAGCCTGGGAGAACAGGACTGAACACTGCTAACTGCACGCAACCGACCCCTAATGTTCTCTCTGGCCAAACAAGAATCTTCCCAAATTGACAATATTATTGCAACCAAAACAGCAACAGAAACCCCGTGAAAGAGCCAACCTCCCCAGAACACACATGCATGGGCAGCGCCACTCCTCCTGATCTTCACACCCCACCCTGTGTGCATACTAGAAATTCCTGGCCAGATTATCACACACAAGAACACGTTCTAGAGAGTTCCCACTCATTGAGCCCAAAAGTTCAAGCGTTTTATTGTGAAGTTGGGGTTCCTGGTTCACTGGGCAACAATTTTCAGTACTAAAGGCAAAAAAAAGAAACCATCATAAGCACAATGCATAAACGAAAGCATAAACCCCCGGGAGCCAGAGATGGAGTCCGTGCATTACGCAAGACACAGAACCTGGACCAGGATGTTGGGCGCCCAGGGGCTTCATCTCCTGTGAGTGTTTCCACTCACAGGAAACAGTGTCCAGGAACAGTCTCCTCTTGAGCACAGTCAAACTCAGAACCGCTGAGATCCAGAGGGCTCAGGAGAGACAGGAGGTGAGGGCTCATTCCTGCAGGCCAGGAGAGTTTCCGCTGCAAATCTCATGGAGCTCGACCTTGTTCACGTCATGGGTCTGGGACTCCATGTCCTCGGCCTTCCTCCCGCCAAAGAGCCAGTAGCCGATGCCAGCCCCTGACAGCAAGGCCAAGCCGAAGTAGGCGTTGTAGGTCATGGCGGTCAGCATCAGCAGGTAGCTCAGGCCCACCTGGAGCATGTGCAGCACCGTCTGTCGGAGGTGAATGGCACTTAGCAGCTGCGGCCAGGATGTCTCCTTCGGGCGGGTTCTGTCAGGTCTGAGGAAAGTGGAGCACTGGGCACGGAGCCTCTCTTGAGCCTTGCGCTGGAGTCCCTTGCGGACTCCCTTGAGTCCCTCGTAGCCCAGGGCCAGCAGAAACATGATCACGACAGCCACGGTCATGGCTGCAGCCGAGTCGATCACCAACCACGAGAACAGCAGCTCCATGTTCCTGTAGCCGAAATAGAAGGTCATGGGCATCATGTGTGCGCTACCCCCATGGGAGTGGGGCCCCGTGGTGGCCGGAGGCTGGGGTGGAGGGGCCGGGTCACTGGGGTGGCCCATGTCGCTCATCCCGGAGTGATGGTGCGAGTGGTCCATGGTCCCAGGAATGGATGTGTTGCAGAAGAATCTGGAAGTCTGATGGAGTCCTGCACTGCAACCTCTTCTCAGGGTCACTGGCAGATACCACGTAAGGGTTGGAGGAGTCCTGCCTTTTATGTACACTGGGAGGAGACCCACCATGACCCTCCCCGACCCTCTTCGACCCTCCTCGACCCTCCCTAGAGACCCTCCCAAGAGACCCTCCCTTGTTGACTGAGAGATTAACTCTTCAGACCAGCTTTGCTGGTCATAATGGCTAAAATGTCAAAACAAGCAAAAAGAGAAATAATATTCTCAGGTCTATCCAAGTTTCATTAACGTAGGAGGAGAATCGATCCTTCTGGAGCAAAAGCAGTTCTCCCTTCTGAGACTAAGATGTTATTTTTTTTTCTTTTGGTTTGGGGCCATACCCAGAGATGCTCAGGTGTTACTGGAGTTCTGGACTCAGGAATTGCTCCTCATAGTGCTTGAGATAGTATGCCAGGAATTAAACTCAGGTCAGCCGTGTGCAAGGCAAGTGCCCTACCCGCTGTACCATCACTCTGCCCTCTCAAGTGGGTTCACATGAAGCAAAATAGAGCCCAAGAATGATGTGAAAGCTGATTTCAAAATACCGTGATTATTGATTGAGTCTCTGGGCTGGGCCAAGTGTAAATTCTCTGGTTGCCAGAAGATGCAGTTTCCAAGAGGTGGGGCTTTACCAGGTTTAGTGCAAATGAGCTTAAGACATGGGGGTGAAGAGCGCCTCATTCCAGGTGGCCCTGGGGTGAAATACTCCCCAAATTGTGAGCCCAAAGAAGAGTACTTTAAAGCCAGAGAGACGACACACAATCTAAGTAGCATGTTACCGCTCTTGACTTCCCGCGCTTAAGTCCTACAAACTCGGGACCAGAGACATAGTGCAGGAAGTAAGATGCCTGCCTTACTGGAAAGCAACCAGAGCCTTTGGCCTCTAGCAACACGGAATGTGCCTTGAGCTCTGCAGGAGTCACTCCTGAGCACAGAGCCAGGATTCGTCTCTGAGTATCAGTGAGTGTGGTTCTACCACCCCCATTAATCAAATAGCACTGTAGCACTGTTCTCCCTTTGTTCATCGATTTTCTTGAGTGGGCCCAGTAAGGGCTCCGTTCTGAGACTTTTTACTGTGTTGTTACTGTGTTTCGCGTATCTAATAAGGAGCTTACCACGCTTTGCCGTGCAGGCAAGATACTCATGGTAACTTGCCAGGCTCTCCAAGAGGGGTGGAGGAATCAAATTCGGGTCGGCCAGGTTGGCCGAGTAGAACACAAAATGCCCTACCCCTGTGCTATCGCTCCAGCACATAAACCAAATTTTAAAAAAAAATCACACAAGCCGATAATAGTGGAGATCTGAACATAGAAATGCCATATGTGCGACTTGTTTCCAAAAGCACAGAAAAATGTGACCATATGCCGCGTCCGGCACTGCGGGTCCGAGCCAAGTGAGGGCCGTCAGGGTGAATTCAGCACTCGAGTCACACAGGGTTCCGTCATTCAGGAGATGGAATGAATGCGTGCGTGCGTTTATTCAGAGCATAGGTACAGAATTAAGTATGTTTCCACAGCCCATCCAAAAGAAAGGAAAGTGGATGGGACGTGGGAAAGTGGATGGGACAATGAGCAGAGCCATGCACCTTTGGTCAGTCACCTGGTGACCCTTTCGACCTAATGCTATTGGTCGGAACGACCTGCTTTGATATAGCTTTGACATATCTGCAAAGATTGTGCTGTTCCTCATACATCATTTACAAATTATTTACGAGGGTGCATTTTCCCCAAACTGAAACCTCTTGTACTGGCAAGTTGCCCAGCTTTGAGCAGGACAAAGGGGGAATGAAAAATCAAGCATTCTTTTACTTGGTCAGTAGGCAACACCAGACACTTGGGGTATATTTATTATAAATGATCTGAGCCTGGCAAGAAGAGCCTGGCAAGCTATCCGCTGTGTATTCGATATGCCAAAACCAGTAACTACAACTGGTCTCATTCACCTGACCCTGAAGGCTTCACCGACAAGGCACCACTGAGAAGGATGAGAAAGGAGAGGCCGACAAAATCTCAAGGCCGACCTAGGCTGCCACAACGAAGGAAGACAAAAATGATCGTCTGTACTTTCAATGCACGTACGCTAGCATCAGATGCATCCATCGAGGACCTGATGGTACAAGCGTGAATGATCAAGTACGACATCATTGGTCTGACCGAGACAAGAAGGCACGAATCTCACCATGCCGTTTTCGACACTGGAGAAGAATTGTTCCTCGGAACATGCGATAAAAGAGGTGTTGGAGGCGTCGCTGTCCTTGTCAACACAAACTTAGCCAAGAGCATTGATTCATTCGAATGCCTAACAACCCGAATCGGACGTTTACATTTGAATAGATGTGGCTCACTGCCTGCAGTTTCTATCTTCGTTGTCTATGCACCAACATCTCATTATGATGAAAGAGAAATCGAGAAGTTCTACATGGAGCTAGAGCAGTTCTATAAAGAAGACCACACCTTCTACAAGATCATTGTGGGTGATTTTAATGCCAAGATAGGACCGAGAAGATCAGCTGAAGAACTTCACATCAGGACCCATGGCCTAGAATGGAACGAACAGGGTGAGAGACTGTCTGAGTTCATCATGTCGACCAAGACCATTCATGGTAACTCACAGTTCCAGAAGGCAGAATCTAAACGATGGACATGGGAGTCTCCCGGTGGACGATTCCACAACGAAATAGACCACATCATATTCAATCGACGGTTTTGCCTGACTGACGTCGCTGTTGTCCCAAAATTTCGAACGGGATCGGACCACCGTCTCCTTCGTGCAAAATTCTACTTCACAGAGCGGGGAGAAAGGGCTGCAAAGTTCAAAAAGAGAACTCCCAGAATGACCACCAACTGGGAACTCTTTGGTACTATTGTGGCAACATGGGAAGATGCCATTGTTGACAACATTGACGAGGAATACGATCGACTGGTTCAGCACCTCCATGAATGTGCGAGGAACGCCAAGAGAGAGATAGCCACAAAAAGTCGCCTATCTTCGAAAACTCTTGAGCTAATTCGCCAGCGTGGTTTGGCGCATGCCTCAGGCAACCGCAAGCTAACGTCCGAGCTTGCAAAGCAGTGCAGAGATGCCATCAAGGAAGACCTCAAAGAGAGAAGAGCAGAAGTACTGGTAGATGCGGCAGAAGCCGGGAAAAGTATTCGTAAGGCCCGCCTGTCCTTCGCCAACTATAAGACCAAGATGACTGCCCTCCGACGTCCTGATGGATCCATCACATCCTCCAGAACGGCAATGGAGAAGATTATCCATGACTTCTACTCAAATCTCTTTGATAGCCATGTCCACTTGCCGACATACCAAATTCCACAGGATGGGTATGTCGTTCCTAACGTTCTCCCTTCCGAAATCCGACACGCCATTTCGTTGGTAAAGAAGCAAACAGCACCCGGCCCAGACAAGGTCAGACCTGAACACCTGAAGAACCTGCCGTCAGTACTCATCAATACACTGGCTCGGCTCTTCACTCGCTACCTGTCTGAATGCAAGGTTCCGTCCCAATGGAAAACCAGCAGGACCGTACTACTGTTCAAGAAGGGAGACATCCATGACATTGGCAACTATCGCCCGATCTGCCTATTGTCTGTCATCTACAAGCTGTTCACTCGAGTCATCCTGAATAGGATTGGCAGAACACTAGATGAAGGACAACCATGCGAGCAAGCCGGGTTCTGCAAAGGATTCAGCACCATCGACCATATCCACACGGTAACCAAGCTCATTAAGGTTTCTCGGGAGTTCAAGATGCCGCTCTGCTTAACGTTCATTGATTTAAAGAAGGCCTTTGATTCTGTTGAGACAGAAGCGGTCATTGAAGCCCTAGCCAATCAGGGCATTCAAGCCCAATACATCAGGATCCTCCGTGAGCTCTATTGCGGATTCACTACCAGGATCTCACCATTCTACAAAGAAGTGATCGTTGATGTCAAGAGAGGGGTGCGGCAGGGTGATACCATTTCACCAAAACTCTTCAGTGCCACCCTCGAGAACATCATGCGACGACTGGAATGGGAAGGAATGGGAGTGAAGATAGATGGTCGGCAACTACACCACCTCCGCTTTGCTGATGACATTGTTTTAATAACACCAAACATCAGCCAAGCGGCACAAATGCTGGCCGACTTTGACCGTGAGTGTGGAAAGGTAGGACTACAGCTGACTCTTACGAAGACAATGCTTATGAGAAACAGCCTTGTTCCTGATGCCCCATTCGCTCTCAATGGAACGACCATCTCCGAATGCAACAGCTATGTGTACCTAGGTCGAGAGGTCAACATGAGAAATGACCTGGCACCCGAGCTGCGCAGGAGGAAGAGAGCGGCTTGGAATGCCTTCAAGAACGTCGAAGAAATAGCTAAGAGGACGAAGAACCTCCGGCTCCGGGCACATCTCTTTGATTCCACTGTTCTTCCTGCATTAACATATGCCTCAGAGACCTGGGCCCTACGCAAACAAGATTAGAACGCCATTCAGGTCTCCCAAAGAAGAATAGAAAGAGCTATGCTTGGAATATCACGTTTCACTCAAATGAGAGAACGAATCCGGAGTTCTGACATCCGTCGACGATCAAGGATCAGGGACGCTGTCTCATATGCCAAGGTGTCGAAAATCAGATGGGCTGGTCACGTAATGAGATTTAAAGACGACCGTTGGACTAGAGCTGTTACTGATTGGATTCCACAGGATGTCAAGAGACCGCGTGGCCGCCCACCTACCAGATGGTCAGACTTCTTTGTCAAGATCATGAACGATCGGTTTGAGGCCCTCCATGTTCCCGGAGCAAAGAGATGCCATTGGGCTACACTAGCACGCGACAGGGACAAATGGAGATGTTACTGGCGCCCGCTCGAGCAAATCGACGACTAACGGGAAGTTAAGTGATTAAGTGAAATGATCTGAGATGGCGGTTTTGGAAAACA